ATTTTAAAAGAATGTGATTCTTTATTCAGTTTGAAAGTAGTTTGCTTCGCTGAGCTTTGTAATCTCTTTCCGCACGATTTGCATCCTCTTAGCTGACTTGAACTCTTCTTAGTTAAACCTTCCATTCAGCTGAAATTTTGCTGCCTCGCTCTCATAAAACGTATATTTTTAAAATTATTTCCCGTTTTCTCCCACCTCATCACCAAAATTCCTGCATCATCGTAGGCAACTGCTGTGAGGTGTCCGCCAGGCATCGACACGCGGTTATGTAAGCCACAGTTAATTTATGCTTCATGCATCCCACCCCTGTTAGATCCGCAACAAGCACTTCCCTGAATTCAGAAATTTCGGTTCCCTATAATTGTACGAGAGCGGAATATCAGGAACGATTCCAGTCTTATTTGTTATCAGAAGCGATTCCAGTAAACTAACGGAATTAGTTTCGCTAATCAATTGTTTTGCTGAACCAGTCTTCATCCAAATGCTACTCAATTTGTAGATTGAAGCGGTTATAGCAAGTGGCGGCAGTGTTTTAGTGCATTGCAAGGCTGGGGTTTCGCGCTCGGCCACAATTTGTCTCGCATTCCTTACCAAATTTCGATGCGATTCGCTTAAACAAGCTTATCAACTGATGGCGCGCAAAAGACCACTTGTTAGACCGAATATCGGCTTCTGGCGTCAACTTATTGTCTTTGAACAGGTATATTTATGCTTTTTTTGCACCTGTGCAATGCGGAAAACACATATTGACGAGAGGTTGTCTGTGTCTGTGTGTACGCTGGACTTCTGTACCGATTTTTTATCTCCAGATCTACAATATCTACAGCGTTGGAACTTTGGGAAACTAATCTACATGCATGTACGGGCCCCCATTCCCAGGACGGGCGGTCTTACCCGCGTGATACTCACGTACTGGCGCGTGAAAGTTTTTTGCAGGTAAGTCGCTAACTCGCGAACCAGAAAAGTTAGAAAGCTCAAATGTTAAGGGGATGTTCCCCGTCCACATACGTGGGCTGAAACCCAGCCCTCGGTATGCGTGGTATCTTTGCACAGGCCCATCAAAGTTTTTTTCGGGTAAGTTGCTAACTCGAGAATTTGAAAAAATTTTAAGGGGATGTTCCCCGTCCACGTAAGTCTCAACGAGCTCAAACTCAAACATCGGGTAAGCGTGGTACCCACGTATGGCCCGTGAAAGTTTTTTTCCAGTAAGTTGCTAACTCAGGAGCTAGGAAAGCTAGAAAGCTGAAATTTTATGGGGGTGTTTCTTGACAGTTCTGGCGGCCAGTCTTGATTTGTTTAGCTAGAAACATTTGCCGGAAAAACCAGTGTCGGTAGCGAAAAAACTGCGGGAAATTATGCAAAAAACGCATTTTCGCACGGCAGCTCGTGCGTTGGCCAATATTTTTATTTGATAAAAAAAAGTGTCTGCCATAAAAAAATTGTAAATAGGGAGGGAGAGGAGGTTAGCTGTATAGTAAAACAATGTTTTTTTTTAAATTCGACTTCTCAAGCATGATAATCCAGAAGAGTTAAATTGCAACTTGTATCCAACTTCTTGGAAAGCTTTGTTGAACTAATTTGAAGTTAAGCAATTTCCATTATTTACAGGAAGTAAAGAACCGTTCTGCCTCTGTGAAGATCGTAACGAATGACTGTGATCCAGAAAGCGTTCTTCCGGATGTCTATGTTGTTAATGGTGATAACTGTTCTGAGGTACACTTTTATTTTTTCGTTCTACCGTATCAATTTGCTCGCTGACTAGGATGCCCTGCAACTTGCTTTATTTTGAACCAATTTTGTTTAAATGTAGTAATTCAAT